GATGATGAAGTTCTGAATGAATGAACTCTTACTCATTGATGTAACTCCAATTCCTGAGGTGGATTCAGGTTAAGAATCATCACAGAACATGTTAACATTTGTTCTGTATCTACATCCAAAAACAGGGCTGTGTTCTGAGTAAGCACGTGGCCACGCTCCAGTATCACATGTTGATGTCTATTAACGGCATTCTTTAGAACAGTCAAAGGGGACAAGTTCCACGGCCGACGAAACACTGACAGAGATGAAAGCACTCAAACTGAAATCTCAATAATCCAGCGAAAGCCCTCTCTCTTCTCATTCTCTCTCCGCTCCCTCCCCCCACCTGCCAACCAGAAGGGCAGCACTCACCCAGGAGACATTTTTGGTCTTGAGCACTTTTGACATGGCTTGCAGATGGAGAGGCTAAGGACCTTGCTCCTGATGAACTCAGCGTCCGCGCACATGCACAGATCCCGGACCACCTCCAGCAGCAGCAGCAGCATCCTCCATCCTCCGTTGTCTGCCTTCGTACCAGCAAACCTCGCCAGATTTACATCTGCCCGCCCATCACACCCGGCTAAACACGCTCTGAAACTCACTCAGGATGGAGGAGGAGGACGAGTGGGCGTCAGAGAGAAGCGAAAAATAAACTCCAAGAGTGACTGCTCGCTAGAAATAGAAACAGAACTTGGAGAAAGTTTCCTCAGTTTTCCTGTTGAATCATCCTCTTCTTCTCTCTCCCTGTAAGTGGTCGTCTGCTCTCCTCGGATTCGCGAACTGCGTGGACATGACGCCAAACATCTGGCCGATGCCCCTCCTCTGTGATGCTGGAGGCTGGAGCCAACAAGCGGCCAATCCTGCCCTCCTAATATTTGCGTGTTAAGAGATTGAGAAAAGCAAGGATGGCGGGAGAGCAATGGAAAAAAGGAAAGAAGAGTAGAGTAGAGCTCAGGGAAAGCCATGGAGGGAGAGGAAAGAGCAAGCCAGACAAATTACTGGACTGGGGCAGTTGTTAGAGGATATGGCGGCGCACATTGGAGGGCAGATTTCGGATACCTCACATGAGATTAAAGAAAAGCTCCACAGTAGGTTAAAATGGTCGCTATGGAATCCAATATTTTCCTCCATAACTTAATATTATAGAGAGGCAAGCAAACAAGTCAGCAGGCTGAATGATTCTGTTCCTGCTCATGTCATCTTGCTTGCAGATTTGTTTTTTTTTATCATAATCTGGATGGAGCTAAACTAATCCTCATTCAATTTTAAAAAAAAAGGAACGAACATTCAAAAGAAAAATTCTTTAACAGAGGAGATTAATCCATAAATTTCACCAGGAGGTTGGTTGTGTTTGAAGGTTTAGACTGAGCCGATTTCATACTTTCCACTTATGCTCAAGTTTCTTTAGCTTCCTTCTCATTCGTTTATTCAATAAAGGAAAAAACAGGTTCCGTTTGTCCATCTTTCTCATCTTGCCTTCCTGTTTTCATGTTCCACTGGGGGGCTGTGCACTTTCTTGGATAGTTGAGCGTTAGCAGAAGGGCAGACAGTGTTAAAATGTTGTGTCACAACATCTGCTGTCAGCAAACTCTGCAGTATGTCTGCCTGTGGAATATTTAAACCTCATTTCCCTCCGTTTTGTTTTTGCTTTGCATCCCAGATGTTTCCTGTCAAACTCCTCCAGGCTCCTCTGAAGCTTTTCACAGCTAAACATCTCCCACTAGCATGAAAATATATCAGACAAAACAGAAAGAAAATTCATTGAAAAAGGTTTTTTAAATTAGCAGCAGAAATTAACCGACCAACCAGCATGAAAAAGGTCTCAAATTTCTATGTCGCACAGACAATTTCACAGTAAAAAATCTCACGACTTTCATCAGCAACGTGGCACTAATGCAGTGAAATTAGCCAATTAGTTAAGGGTTTCATCCAACTAATGTTTTTTTTTAATTACATGATTAATTGCATGAGGGTTTTTTTCTATTTGTGTTGTTTTTTACATTCCTTTTCTGTGTAGCCGCCATCAAATTCAATATGCACTTACCTGGAACTGGATTGTTTGTCTGGATCTGAGGGAGAGCTTAGCACATCAGAGTGTTTGACGCTTAGTCGTTGCTGTTTTCATAATGCTGAGCTCCGTCATCCCCATTATGCAGATTTGATGTAGCGTTGAGAATTATAAATGCTCATAGATATTTGAGCTTTATTTGACATAGTTCCCCATTATTATTATTTTTTAAGTTATCAATTCCTTTGATTTAAAAGTATTTACATACTACATAGTATGCATTTTAACACTTCTACAGAGTCTTTGGGCTGCTCAGGCACTGCACATTTAAGATGACAAACAATGACTGTTTTTCAACAGCAAACATAGAATATATAAGTAAATCTGCCAATCTTTTTCAGCAGCATCACACTTAAGTGCGCTTTTTGATGGGGGGTCAGAAAAAACCCAAGTGCTCAGACACTTTACAAGAACAGCTTCTCGTACCTTAAATACTAAACAAAAATTGCTCTTTTAGATACCGGTATATGTATGTTTTTTTGTTTTGTTTTTGGAGTTACTGTGAATATAAAGATGATCTAGTGTAACATTCAAGATAGCTTGTGGCTCTTAAAAGGAGACATTTACAAAAAGCTTTATAAGATTATAATACAGATGTGCCACAAAATGTGTCTTGATTCTATCCCAAAGATGTTAAAACATGATTTTTTTATTAATACCACAGAGATTAAATGCATGAGGATACATGAGGATCACAGACCCAGCACAAACATCAATTGTGACGCCTTTTCACGGCCTTTTGGACTTCAAACTTGCTGCATGCTGCAGTATGTATCGACTTGTTTCCGCAGAGAGGAACACTCACAATGCTATTTCCTACTTCACCTGAGGCGTTGGGATTGGAATGTGCACCTCTATAATCCCCAAAAAACCCAAACAAACACCCATCTGTGCATTCTTGAAGTTATCGATATTCAAATCTATTCGGAAAACCGTTTCCCAACTGAAGGAAGATTATATCATGTAGATGATGTACATGAGTATACAGCATCCCTGGGACTTAATACATTAACAATACAAAAATAGAGATATACGCTCAAACTAATTTGTGTACATTTCCCAAGAGTGAGAGACAAAACAAGACGGATTAAGAATACCGCTTTTATACCTTAAGTCTCTATAAGGGGCTTTAGTGGATTCCTCAGCAGGTTTATTTCACATTCAGAAACTCTGCTTGCAGATCAGTATTCAGGCAGTATTCACACATAAAGCAGCAACAGAGCCCAGGTTGGTGCACATTAGATGTAGAATATATATATATACATATATATGTGTAAATACATATATATATATATATATGTATACTAAATGTGTATTATTATACACCATCCATCCATTTGCTTTATCACTATGTCCTGTTTGGGTTGCAGGGGGGCCCTTGAGCCTAGCCCAGCTGTCACTGGGGAGAGATAAGGGCTAAAGGTTGTAAAAAAACCACACACATTCACATCATCAGTTAACCTAACATGCATGTTTCCAGTCTGTTGGAATGAGCCTGAGTGTGACAACAGACCAGCTTTTCTTAAACGTAGTCACACACTGTCGCGCATCACTAAGATCTCATCTTTTCACATTTTATCCGTCACAGTCGTGAGTCTCGCCAGCGGTGTGGATCATATTTTGATGTAGGTATGGAACACAGAATAAGTGGGTAATTAATGATTCTGTCAGTTTTACTAAATGAACTGTACGGTCAGTAATAGGCCGGAGCTCGCAGGTTAATGTTCTGATAGTGAGCCTCAGCCTCCAGAAGAGACTCCCTCCGCACACTCCGTCTATAGCGTTTTATCACAGCCAGCTTCAACAGCATGAATTTGAAATAAAACTATCCAGAAAGTAAACTGGGGGGCTCACAGTTGAGAAATGTAATGCTATCGAAAAAAGCATTAAAAAACAGCCAGTTGAAGCTGCTGCTTTTTCAGAGTATGTACAAATATCCAACCATCTATATTGTTTATTCCCATAAGCAATATAGATGCTTATGGGAATATATATATATATAAGAGAGATATAAAGATATATAAGAGAGAGAGAGACTGACAGAGAGAGATACAGATATCATAAGGACTGCAGTTAATTTGGGCATAGGGTCCCTCTTGGTGTGTTGCTTCTTTGAGCCATCCTGATTGTCTAAGCTCCTTTCCCGGTTTGTAACCGTTGGGTATGCATGACATGCAGCAGTACAGTATTTGGTAATCCGCGGGGCTCTGCGCTGACAGCCTATCGAGTGTTCAGGGGGCTGACAGTAAGCCAATTTCATGTGGGAATGTGGTAACGATAAGGTCCTCTGCAGTCAGCCGCATCACACAATGCACAGCTTTAACATCACAGGAGCAGCCACAACGGGACTCAACACAAGATACCAGAACGCTCACGTACGCAAAAAGTGTGCGGTAAATTAGCGGCGAAGGCAGAAAGAAGGATTGGGACTGGTCTTTCTCATTTGTGTCTTTGAAAAGTCGACACCTGTCTCTGCCCTTTCCTCCCTCTCAACTTTCCCTCGTATGGACATGACATCTTGAGTATAAAAAAAAGGAGAAAAAAAATGGCTTTCATTGGTTGGTTTCTTCACATGGTTATCAAAGTCTAAAATACAAACAGTAAACATTTGTTTTCCATAATTGATTTTTTCATGACGGTTTTAGAAAAAAACCTGTTCACAGCTCAGCTAAAAAGTCCCATCATCTGATAAGTGAACGTCTCGCTACATGTGTTATTGAGCATGCTCACACTGCAGATGAAAATATGCCTGGATACAAGTGTCAAAGTGTGGTGTGACTGCCAGAACCCCCACTGCACTCCCCCGCACCCCAATCCCCACCCCTCCCACCCCCCCCACACCCCACCCCCCCCACACCCCCCCCCCCCTCCCCAACCCTGCCACAAAACAACTTAACTGTTGCTATGGGATCAAAAGACGGATGCTGCAAGGAATGCTGCGATGGTCACTTACATAGGTGGACTGCACTCTCCGCCAGTGTCCCAGCCCACAGCAATACATCAAGACATCGAGTTGGGGGGGAGAAGAGGGGACAGGCCGACAGAGCCCCCGGGACGGGTGGCCTCAGCACCGGTTCACATCAGAGTCCCTCATGGCACAGGTGGTCCACCTGACCGCAAACTCATCTGGGAGATCGGGGGTCCAGCAGACGACGGAGAGTCCAACCTGCGACGTCCACAGGTTGTCCTGGAGGGACGGAGGGGGAGGGGTCATCAGGTGGCTGCTTTTCTCTCTAGAGTCCAAGAGTCCAGGTGATCCCGACGGCGGACGTCTCACAGCATCTCCGAGGCGCACTCCGCAGGGAGCCAGGATCCGAAGACTCAGCCTCACAGGCACGGGTCCAGGTTCGTGTGTCCGCTGGTGTTAATGTGCACGTGTCCTCACCTCATTTTTAAAAGGACAGACGGCTCATCTCTAATTCTGTGCGCTTGCCCTTCCATTACCACAGCTCAGCCTTTTCTGTGCCCACGTTTCCCCCCTCTGTCAGACTCACTTCCAGCTTAAAACCCCCAGAACAGTCTCGCCGGTAAAACTAAATGTCTTTTTCTCCTCTTTTTGAGTCGCTCAGTGCTATGTGGTCTCACATTTGTCCAATCAGAACTCTAGCATCACTCCACATCCACCTTGCTCCCTTTTTCTGTCTATCCCTCCTCCGTAAGTAAGCCCACCCCGGGAGTCCGGAATCAGAGAATTTCAGGTTGAGCCCGACTCTTCTTCTCTTCCTTCTCCAAAATCCCAGCCCTGTGGCTCCTCCTCCTCTTCCTCCTCCTCCTCCTCCTCCTCCACTATCTTTCCTTCTCCCTTCACGCGCAGTTTCCCTCTCTCCAGAGTCCAGTCTCATCAGGGGCGTTCCTGCTTACCTGAGTCACTGTTTGCACTCCTGTTGTGACTGGGTGCGCACACGTGTGTGTGTCAGAGTGTGTGTGTGTGTGTGTGTGTGGAGGCTGCAGCTGAAGCTCTCCCCCCCCCCTCCTCTGTTGCCATGCTAGTGCCGGTAACATTCAGCTAGCGCAGGAGACACACAGGCTGAATTTAAATGCGGCTCCAGCCTCTCCGATTTACAAAGCCTCCACCCTTCCCGACCCCCCCCCCCCCCACCTCTCCTCTTCATTCCCCTCTTTTGTCATCTCTCTCTCTCTCTCTGCTGTCTCTCCTCTCTCTTTAATTCCCTATCTCGTCCCGATTATCTCAGTCTACATTGTCTACTCAAAGAGCCTCTGCTGTTGCTTCATTGTCTGCCATTTTTCTGCCTCCTGTCATGCTCCCACTTGTATTGGGCTGAGGATGCATCAGAAATTGTTCTGGTTGTATTCAGGGATATAAAAGAAGACAAAAAATAACTTTTCTTCAACAAAAAAGAAAAAAACACTTGATGTATGGAAGGAAAGTTTAAGAGTAATGATAACAACAATAATAATAATAATAATGATATCTGTGTGTTTTCAACTTCCATTGACTTGAGTTTAATCCTATTGCTTTGACATTTAAAAGACACATGAATCTATGGGAAGTCACTAATACACCGGAAGAAAATAAAAACTCCACACAGAAAGGATGCAGTCTGTTTTGAAACTGGGAATTTTTTTATTTAATATGATTTCAATAATCATATTCATTTTAAGTGTCATTAGTAGTGCAACAGTGTGTTCTATTGTCTCCCAGTAGCCGCTCTGTTGGTATTTTCACTGATCACTTGTAATATATCCAGTTAGTCGTATCCGTTTTTTTTAGTGGCAGCAGCACAGCACCAGTGATGAGTTTTGCCTGAGGCTCTACGCGGGGCTTTGACTGACAGCTTTTTGGTAACCCTGAAAGAGAGTTGAGAACCAGCCAATGCCCTTTCATTCATCCTCTGGAAATGTTCCATTTTTGCATTAAATGACATGTCAGTTACATGCCATTCATTTCTAGCTATTGATCACAGCCAGTGCCATAAGGAATTCAGATGGGGAAAAAGTCTTTTTATTCTGTTTTGAGTGGGAATGTCTTCAAAGGGACTTTTTCGACTAAACCCAAAAGCCAGAACTGTAAACAAAAACAAAAAAATAAAAAAAGAAATGGGCAAACATTAACGGTTCATTTTAGTGATTTTGAAAAAAAGGAAAGGAATGAAAGCCTCTTCTGCAGGGAACTTTTTTGTGGCTGATTGAGGATCTTAGAGTCTTGCATAAAGACGAATGGATGCAGGCTGTTGCGTTTTCCTTTGATCATTTAGAGCCTTCGGTCTCTGTCAAAAGAATGAAAAAGTGCTCCACGTCATGCCAGCATGCTGCATTACAGAACAGTCATAATAACTTGAGCTGCACTAATGCCTTCTTGCAGATTACAGTATGAATCATTGAGGAGTAGGATGATCGTGTCTGTGGGGAAATTATGAAAGGTTCCCTTTTACTTTTCATACGAGTAAATGAGAGTCTGGCAGCTCTGGGCAGTCGCTGTGAGTAACAGCTGCCTGTCTGGCGCCCCAACTCTCACATCATTTATAAGAACATTAACCAATCTTTCCTGTCAATGTTTCACCCAAGGTTTCATTGGATTTCTAACCAGTAATACAGCAGTGTTTGGAGCCATTTTTCAATTTTTTCCATTTCCTATCTCTCTCTCTCTCTTTCTCTCTGGAAAAAGTTGGTTTGGCAGATTCTTTTAAATGATTTGTCCCCCAGCCCACAGCTCATCCATCATGGGAACAAAGACCGTTTCACAGTCCTGGTGGAGGACCAAGGATTACAGCATCTCTCTGTGGTGTCCCTGTAACAATCTGCACTGATCCAAACACATATATGACAAGGTTACAACACAGTGAATTATTTTCCCAGAGACCGCTGTGAACCACTGTGGTGCTTGTGCCACCATACAGACACGCAAGGACACAGTAGGAATATAGAAGAGGCAACACATAAAGAAAACTTATTTCTCTAACATTTCTGCAGACTCAAGTTGAGAGAAATTAAAAAGATGTGCCAAGGGTGGTTACAATATGTGTCTAAATATATGTACATATATATAAATACACATACGCTGATAAAAGTATTAAATGAGCTTTAAACATCAAGTTTTTTTTTTTGTATTTATTCATAAGACTGGAAATTGTTAAAGAGTCATTACTTCCAAAAATGTCCACTCTCTCTGGATCTCTTACAAATGTACAGATAAAAAATGAAGCAGGTAAGCATAAATTCAGGCATCAATAAATACATTTTGATTCAAAAACGAGCACAAAAACATGAAACATTTCAACCAGCAGAATTCAAAGCCTCTTGAAGTTTCTTTGGTGTTGCATTCTCCTCAAAAACACCAACTGTTCAAATATCCGTAATCCAAGCGGCTCTGTCGCCAACAGACCGCGACACTCCTCCTCAAAACATGCTCTGCCTTTTGAAAATGCTCAGCTTGGTCAGCAGAGTGAAGTAGATGAAAGCCAGGCTCGCCAGCACGTTCTTCAGTGGAAACAACACCGGCGTTACAAAACCGAACACAGAAATCAGAGCCACCCGAATGACGAAGAAAGGGAACTCCTGCAGAGCGACTCCAGCCACGGACAGCAACGGGCTGTGTGGGGTTATGATCACACGGAGAGCGGAGACGAAGGACAAGATGTAGACTGGGAAGACCCAGGCTGAGTAGAAGACTGACGGCTCTCCGGCAACTCTTATCATTTCCACAGTGTCTAACCAAAACAAGAAACTCTCCACAAACACCTCAGACCTGGCGTCTCTCTTCCAGAGGATGCGTAAGGGGCCCGTATAAGTCAGGGGCCGCGAGGAGGGGGAGTACACGTAAGAAGACGGTGCTCGCGGGCTGAGGGGTGAGCGCCCGGGGGGGTCGGCCAGGCTTTGCCACCTGCCGGGGGTGCCTCCGTTGCTGGCTTCGGCCTGGTGCTCGGGGGAAGCGTTGGGGTCTGGAGC